ACTTATCGTCATGCCGTTTGGATATTAAGTCAGAAATCCTACGTGATTTCCTGTCCGTCATGCTCTGGAGATTTTGAAAATCTTGCGGAGACAGGACTTCAATAAGTCGAAAGGAAACTGCGACCATACCCGAGGCCACAACATCTTGGTATTCACATCTTTAACAAAAAAGAGGCCGGACTGTGATGGTGATTGTTATCATACAAAGGGTTTTAAGTTCTGTATATCTAGGACCCCGCCACAATAATGGCCTTATTGTAATTCCAGTTAAATTAAAGTATGAATATGCTTGCCGCTCACATTTCCACAGAATTTGTCACATTTGCGTCATAATATTCTTCGTTTCTGTTGCAAACTAATTGAGCCGACTTTTAGTGCATACTTTAAATATTATTGGAGACTTGGACAATAAATTTACATTTTATCAGCTATCTTTAATATATCTCTGCATGCATAAAAATCCTAATAATTAGTAAGTTTGTGCAATCGATAGCCATTCATTGCTAGTTTTTTCCCTTTATCCCTCTGATATTTCCTCATTTATTTCCGAATCGTTCTTTATTTTCTGCATACGTACAACCTTTTTATGAATTAAAAACCCAATTTCATATATTCTTATTATTTTGCTCTACATGATTCTATTTTGCAGATCATCGACTGAAATAAATATTTTTTATAGTATGGCATCGTTAGACAGCAAGACCAATTACTTTTGATTCAACTTCCGTGCCTACAAAACCCTGCTTCTCAACCTACTTTTCCACTCTTGGTCTCTGAGCTCTATCGGTTCAATTTACTTTTGCTTCAAATCGTTTTGATCTATTCTCTCTTGTTCTCTCTTTTTATTCTCTTGACTTATGTTACTCGTCCCCGACAATTCACTTTCCATACTCTTCTTTTCTCTCCTCGCCTTCTCTTTTTTCCTTCGCTCTATTCTGCTTCTTGTTTTCCCCTTTGTCTGACTATCCATTTATATGTGCATCTCCTGCCCTTCTTTCAACCGTCCTCCCATCGACGATTTCACCTCTCGACAGGCTCACTGTGGCGCTATATCCGCTCCAGTATGTCCTATCCGATGCTCCTGCCTCCGTTGTGCGATCCCGAGGATGGTCACTTACTCATGGACGGCGCCTTTGTCAACAATGTTCCAGGTAGAAATGAACGTCGAAGAAGAAGCTTCGTTTGCTTGAACGTTAGGTTTAATGAACGAGAGTCCATTATCAAGATGAGCACAATTAGGAAACAACTAGAGGAATGATATCGTAAAGGGTTACAGAGTCAAATGTCCTACAATTTTTAGAATTTCGGCCTTACCTCTCGTTTTATAACTAGCACGCGAATGCGCATGAAGGCTTACAAGTTTTTACATAGAAGCATGCTTATTTTTGTGTGCGGACTAAATTGACACATTTTAATATTTTTGCCTTCTTTTTATATCAAGTTCTTATATTAAGCACTCAATTAAATCAGGTTTTTGCTAAGGTTTTAATTCCACTATCCAGTATTATAGTAGTTTACAAACTTATAGTATTATTTCTATTAAATAAGCTTCATTTTATTTTCATATAAAGGCAATCAAAGCTCATAAATCGATTCGTTTTTTTGGAATTTTCATTAGTATATTGTTGAGAGGGGCATCCTTGCTGCTTATCCCTACTTCTATTCCTTTAAATATCTTTGTATTCTGATCTTTTTGTTTTTTTCCAATAACTCGTATCAATAGCTTCTAACTCTTCCTTTTTAAGTTCGATGTCGAAATTTAATTTTTTCCTTGCCATCTCTGTTTGTGTTCGTTAATGTTAGTC